GGTATTTTCCACCATCTTTTTTTTATAATTGTAGAGCCCCCAGGAAAAAGAGGGGGGGGGGGGGGGGGGGTTAAACGTGAGCACTGAGGGGAACTGAAATTTTAAACCCAGTCTTAGTCTTAGTGAAAATATGGACCTCAAGCAAAAAAAGAATATTATGTAGGATATGTCTCGTTAGTTAGTAAAAAATGCTAACTAGATTTGATTAGAATTAGAGAGTTTTGACCATTAGCATTTACCCTTACGACAAACATACACATGTGAAACTAAAATGACATGATGGGCCAGATTTGGCCCACGGGCCTCGAGTTTGACACGTGACGCAGAAGAAGAGAGAAAGAGCCAATGCGTCTGAAGGAATTTGTCTGTACAAGTCGTAGGGGGAAAAACATTTTTTTAATGACGAGTAAGGCGACAAATGACTTTAGGGAGCTCATCGTTTCATCTGTTTCTTTTTCATCATTGACATATCACACCACGCGTCGGAACGGGGTTGCTGACCGGGTCGTCAGTAATACTAACCATAACTCACCACATTCCACATAATGTCTGTACAGTGAAAGGCTGCTGAGTTTTATGGATGAGATCAAGCTCAAAAGAAAAGAAAAAAACAAACATCTTTTCTGTGAGTCTGTACACACTTACACTTACTGTCCCATCTTTTTTCCTCCATCCTCTCCCCCCACTGTCCTCTCGATGGCCTTAGCTTTCCACTTCTATGCACATAACTTTATAAAATGTACATAAAGGAACTGGACAGAAACCCAAAAAAGAATGTCGGTCAAATGCCTCCACTGTTTAGTGATCATGTGTGTTCCTGTCAGACACGTCACTTGTACACTGGAAAATATTATCTTCTTAATTTATTCAGACTGCTCCTGTTTTAGGGAAACTTTAAAAAAAAAGTCTATTTTATTTATTTGTGTCCTGACAGCTGTTGATCAGCCATGGCTTCTTTTGTTTTTGTTTTGTTTTTTTGCTTCGTTTGAAATTTTACTGCAGGCACGTTACATGTGACACAGTAAAAATCCAACAGGAAAACGGTGTTTTGTGTACAGCTTATTGTAAAGTCCCTGTTCATTCAGTTTGTCTATTTGGCACTGGAAAATAAGTGTGAGTATGTAGTATAATGAGTATGTCTTTGTTCCTGTAAAGACATTTTGTAATATGTAAAAAGGTTTTAATTTAAATTTGCTCTGTATTAATATTCTATGTGACCATTAAGATTAAATATTATTGTTTGACACTTTGCTCTTTGTTGCTGGAGATTGGTGTAAACAAATGTAAATGTATGATGATTAGAATTAGTAAAATTGATGGCCATGCACAGAATTTAAAAAACTGCATTTTACAGATCCAGAAACAATTTAGATTTTTGAAGATTTATATTTATTTCAAAACAACCAGACACAGGATGAGCTCACAAAAATTGATGGAGGGCACCATATTTGGTCCACGGGCCCTGATTTTGACAAATGAGATTTAGAATAAAGAATTTTTTAAAAATTAAATTAAAAAATGTCGTCATATCACAAATGAGATTTAGAATAAAGAATTTTTTTTAAAATTAAATTAAAAAATGTCGTCATTATGTTTGAATATTAAGATGTCATTGACATCACCCTGAGTGTAGAAAGAAATCAGGTTCTTCTCTGACATCACCACCAAAAACTGGCACGCTGTCACGGCTGCTTCACCTGCTCGTAACCATCGTCGACATTGTTATTTTCCAGTGGTGCTGTAAAAAAATTTTTTTTTGTGATGAAATGACTTCTCACATTCTTGCTCTACAAATATACACAGGCAGCTGTGACACTTACCCTCTCCAGGTGTTGTGAGTCTTTGGTAACATCTGAAACTCAGGATCAAGAGAAAGGCCTCCACCATCTGGAACGTCATGTACAACATAGGGAAGAGAAACATGGGTCCAATGACCTCCAGGGGAAAGGCCACCTTCAGGATGGCAAAGCACAGCTGGATGTTCTGACACCCTGTCTCCATGGAAATGGTCCTCCCACATCTGAAAGGTTAAAAAATGGTTTATGAAAAGTAAAACTAGTTTTAGTTTCTATGTATGTGTACATACACAGTATGTTGTATTTTGACATTTGAATTAAGCAAAATTAAATATATATATACTGTATATATATTCCTGCTTAAGGATTTGGGCAGACTCCGAAAATGAAATGTTTTATCAACAAAAGAAATGAAAATAAAATGGAAGTAAAATCTTTTGGGGTAAGCTGAATTTTACTATTTAAATTAAAAAACATAAATAATTATATTTTTATATCATGTAAAATCTCGCATGCTATTAACTTCAGTTTTAATCAGAAACAGGAGTTCTGTTTGCTTGTGCTATGCTAATCTGAAAACAAGGTCATCAAACCTGGAATTCAATAATTCCACTATATGTAAACAAATATATTGAGTATGTGTACCAATAATGTAATTAATAGAATAATTATATAGAAAAAAAGTTCATTTGAAAACATTTTATAAAATCTGACGCGATAAATGACAGTAATTCATAGTCAAATGTGGGTTTTAACTAGTTGTATCGCTTCAATCATCGCGACAATTCATTACGTCATATGCATAATAATAAAAATAAGATTGTTGACCTAAAAACAATTATCTGTGAGACTAGGGGTCTAAAATAAAATAAAATAAAAATCACTGGGTGACAATACATCCGTTTGCACTTACTGAGCATCAAGTCTGAAAAGGACCGACAGGACAAAGCCCAGGGTGTAGCCAATCAGCGGCATCAGTGCAGCCGCTGCCACGATGTTTACGGTGAGGATCGACACCAGTAAGTCTTTGAGGACAGTGCCACACGCGATGATAGCCACGACACTAGCGATGACCAGGATGCTCACACCAACCTGTCAGATGTAGAAGTTCAGCTGGAATTAATTACGAGTTCTCGACATTTTATGTAAATGTGAAATTTGAAGCATCGACATTCACGGTTACTTGGAGCCAGAGATGAAAGTCGTATATTTCATAATTTGGAAGAATAGAGTCGAAACGTTACGGGTGGGAAGTCGTACATTTATGGGATTGAAGTCGTAATATTAGTAAAAACGTGTCGCCACATGTGTCGTGTTTTGTTTTGTTTTTTTACTGTAAAAAGGAAACCCACATTTAAGGGTTCAAATCTGTGTAATCTCCCCTTCAAAACCCATCATCTAAAATGATCTGAATGAATTTCGAAATGTATGACTTTAAAATAAAATATAAAAACTTTTTGTTTTTATTTAAATGTGGCCCTAGTACTCGTAATACGTCGTATTCGGCCGCTGGTACGATATAACGTTTTTAAAACACTCATTTAGGGATTAAAACCTTATGACACCCGTTCAATGTATCTCACTACAGTATGTGCACAAAGCATATGTAAAAATAAATTATATTTACAGTATATTTATTTATATCTGGTAGCTGACTGGCAGTCTTACCTTTTTCATGATTCCTACGTATTTTGGTATGTAATGCTTAATGGCGATGCCGATGCCACACGGCACTAGTGTTAGCACCAGAGTCTTGATGATGCTGAGGTATGGGACGGCGTTTTTCAGATCACCGAAGCCCTGGGAGAAAATGTAGAGCAGCAAAGGCATCATACCCAACGCTGCGAAGCTGGAGCAAGTGGTCAGTACGATGCTGTAAATGTTTCAGATAAAAAATGTATACAAATTGTGCATTAAACAAAGGTCGATTTAGAAAATACAGAAATACAGTATTAAGGGCGCTGGTCGTATGCTAATGTAGCATGCTAAATTATTTAATATCATGTAAATAATGTCATTTTAGTATGTGATCAAAGTATATGTGCCCTGTATTTTTTTTCTCATTTTACCAGTAAAATATAGAAAATAGTCCCACAGAATGAAAAACTTCCAAAGAAACGAGGAAAAGTTTTCCTCAGGTTAGCTTAGCCTAGCCTAGCCTAGCCACGGAGGACACCTACAGTTGTACACAATGGCTCTAATATTGTTTAATGTGTTGCTGAAAGTAATTTTAAAGTAATTGGAGGAGAGAATTTTTCAAAATGGGCCCAAATTCAGTTTGATCCACACTGGTTGGATGAACAGTGTTCAACAGACCAGGAAGTTCTGTTGTAGAATTCTGGAAATCTAAACTTTAAATAAAATGTATTATTATTATTATTATTATTATTAACGTATATGTAGAATTCTGGAAATCTAAACTTTAACGTATCCCAGGTCGGACGTTGGAAATGTTTTGACCATGTTACAGGATTAGGTTCAATATAAAATTACCACCTGCTTACTGAAACCAGGGCTTAAAATGCGTACTTAGCATCCCCCGCAGGGCAAATGGCGGAACTACATTCTTAATGTTTATAGACTGATTAACAAATAAACAATTAAAAATGTATTTATTTATTGTTCCAATAACCAGTGAGACCTTACCTGAGGTTCATGTCACCATTAATGGCCAGGGAGAATATGTTTGACAAGGTTCCGCCCGGGCAGCAGCCACATATAAGTAAAGTCACAGCCTGTATGTCATCAAATTTCAGGACTTTGGCTAAACAGTAGGCAGTGAGCGGCATGATGCCAAACTGGGACACCATTGCAATAGCTGGTCCTTTTGGCTTAACAAAGTGTTGTTTAATTTTGGAAATCTCCATCGAAAGGCCGAGAGATACCATGGTGATCGTGACGATGAGGAGGCTGACGATGCTTATGGTTATGTTTTCAGAGACTAACAGTTCCAGGGTTTCTTTGCTTTCATTGCCAAAGGCATTTCCCTGGCTGTTGATGGTTGCCATATCCATGACGTCGCTTGAGATATTCATGGTGATATCCATCAGATTCTGAGCAGTTTCTGCTCCACAGCTGTCACCTGTCGTGTGAAAAATGTGAATTTAAAAAATTAATAAAATTAAAGGTACCAAAAATGTACAATTGGAACAATGTGGGTAAAAAATTGGTCTGAAAAGTTAGACTCATGTTGGTGTTCACACCAAATGTGATAGAGGCGAATTCAGCCATTCACATTTTGGTGACCTGGGCTACAAGGGCAGGTCTAGCGTACGCTACTCACTTTTGCATTAGGGAGGGATTTGAACCAGCAGCCCTCCAATTACAAGCCAAGTCCTTCAACTTATCATGTCGGTAGTTGGATTGCCCCATACAGTATACAGGTTAAGGGTAACTGCTAATCATTGCCTCCTTCCAATCCATAGCCACATTGCACTTATGTAACACAGCTGAACTGGTACTTTTCAGGATAAAGAACATCTGAAAACGGTTTCATCAACTTGGTAATATTAGTCAGCAACATTTACAAGTGAAAATATGGAGAAATTAAATAACATTCATATTAATGTGTGCAATCTTGTTTGGCTGGGGTTTTTTTTTATTATAATTTTAATTTGTTTTTGGTAGGCAGGACTTTTCCCCATTTTTCCAGATTCTGATTTCCTTTAATTACAGGCATATACAAAAGTAAATCAAATTCCAATTTTTTCTTTTTCAAGTAATAAGTTGAGCAGGTAACAAGAGGCTTTTAACCATGTGTTTGCAGGGGTAAAGGTCACTTTCTTGAGCCTTGATAACAAGTTGTTTAAGAATAAATTGGTCTCAAATATAATCACTATTATTTTGGTCAATATGGAATTGAGGATTATTTAAAATTAGAATAAAAATAGAATTACTTGGAATTGAGGATTATTTAAAATTAGAATTAAAAAAATAGAATTAATCTAATTTTTGCATATATTTAATATGCATTTATTTAATATATTTAATAATTTAATTAAAAAGTCTGTATTGCTTTAAAGAGAGATTTTTTTTTCACAGGCCGGTGAAGTGAGTGATCACATCAATGATCAACAACAATGATTCAAACACTAACTTGTCTTGTGTTATTTATCCTAAATTAAATGGTTAAAGCCTATGATTTAATATCATGATATTGTCATGTTTATTTGACAAAAAAAATGACATTACTATGTTAAAAAAACATGGGAAAAATGGCAAAAGTTTCTTTTTCAGAACAAACAACTGTCGACCAAATTGCATCAGTTATAAAACTGAACTTGAGGATTGACTCTGAAGAGCTGGAAACACAATATACCAGGGACAGAAATATGTTCACAATTAACAAGTTACTTTAAAAAGTGCTACTTAATAGAATTTTCTGCACAGATTATTCATAATCTAATCTGTAATACAGTGTTGACAAGTGCCTCGTTGTGAGTAAGGACAGGTCAATGCACTGATAATTATGGTGTTAACACTTAGTTAATGGTTAATATATGTTACCTCATAAAAGGTGTTGCCAAAGAGGTTAAAAAATATCAATATATATTTATTTATACTTATATAAATAACGACTACTTTTCTGGTGAAACACAAGTAAAATCTTTCTTACCTTTTCGGCTGATTCAAAGTGTGCGTCCCACTCCCGACATCGGGTGCATCTCTATTCACACATCCTTCTTTCCAGTGTGTGCAGCACTAGTGCAACTCCTCCTTGCATCACATGGACATCAGATAGCATGGACGCTGTAATCACTGTGGTCGCAACAATCAGTGCAGGTCCATGTGTTCGACACACAGTTCCAGTGAAGTCTGCATGTCCCAATGCCTCTTTCCTGGAGTCGCTCTCCAGGTTTTTCTGGACACCGTGGGAAAGTCGTTCCATTTGGCCTCACTTGCATGAATGGTAATTAATATTACGCAACCAGGCAGAGAAATGGGGTTCCCTGGCAGAATGTTGCCTGTCTCTGAAAAGAGGTGGTTGGGGGGGCAGTGTTGTTGTGACATTGGAAAGCCTTTTTGTTCTTCTATGGGTTTAATTTATGCCTCTAGCCTTTGTAGTCCTTGTTGAGATCTTGAACATTTAACTGAAAAAAACTGACTCAGACTGTCGTGTGATGTCCAAGATTGGGATTTCCATTAGAATCGTTAGAGATATTATTGATAAAAAGACACTAGGATTTCTGTGACTTTTGTTACCTGTCCTGTGGAGAGCATTCAAATAAACAGTAAATTTATGTGGAATCCTGACGCGTGAGGCAGTTTTTCTCAAAGTAAGGGGCGAGTCCCAGTGGGGGCACACGTAGTTATTACAGGGGTGACACGGCAGGTGAAATTATTTTAATTATTAGCACTTTTTTTTTATTTATGCCACAGTGTGGAAAATTTCCTTATTAGTAATTTCATTTTTGTATTTCTGGTGAGAATTGTACGAAATACAGTATGTGAAATAAAGTTAAGTGGAGTTTTGAAGCAATATCTGTGAACGTGTTGACATGGAGAGGTGCGGGGGATGAAAGGCTCAACAATAGTCCTATTTAGTGGGCTGCTGCATTTTGAGAACTGCCTTATAACAAGATGGTCATTGGTGCATTTCCTGGTGGTAAATAATTCAAACTTTTCCTCTAAGAGCAGGCAATTCTCCACAGTCCAGAAACGAACTAAATTAGCCATTTCTATGCCATCTATTGGGGAAATGCAGGCATTGCAGGGGAAAGGCAAAAATATAATGAAAATAGAAAATAATATAATTTGGACAAGTTTGGTGGGCCGGATTAAAAAGCCAAACGGGTTGCATCCGGCCCGCGGGCCGTAGTTTGCCCATGTCTGGTGTAAATGCAAACTCACCAGGTGTTTTCGACCCCAACGACCTCAGAGAATTTATCCCCAAATGCTTAAGTGGCATAAAAAAAAATTAGGTTTGAGATTTGGGTCAGGCATAATTCCAGTGTGTTTTAGGTAATGCTACACTAGCTAATGAACAAATAAAAAAAGAATCTATTGCAACACGTAAATGTTTTTTTCTATTTCTATTATTTCTATTTTTTTAGTTTCTATTTAGGTTTATTTAATAAAAATAATTATGACGTCAAAATTTTCTAAGAGTGGAAAAACCTGTTCAAATAAAACAACTCAACGCATGACAAAAATATAATAATAAAAGTTAGTGTCTTAGTTATGATACAAGACACTTCAAAAAATAAAATGTATAATTTTTGACTGGACATTTCCCAGTGGACTTGTAGTTCAATTTTGGACTGTAGATGGCGGAATCCCACCCTAACACTGGCTGCCACTGAACATAGCCCGAGAAGAAGAAGCAGGCCTTGTTTTTGTTGAGTTTGCGCTGTATGTGTTTTCCTGTCCATGTGTAGGCGAATCACGTGTAGGCAGACCTTTGAGCGTCATGTCTCTGCTGTAGCACAGCACTTCTGTGCTACATGATATTGTTTTCCTCCAGTTGTCGCTACACTTTGTTTTGACAGCTGCTCGTTTTTGTTTTCTTTTTTTTTTCCTCTCGTAGCCATTTGTTGAACCGAAGAATGAGCGAAAACGATGACATCGAAGTCGACAGCGATGTATGTGCCTGAGTTTCCTTTAGCAGTCAGCTAGCCAGCTTGTTAGCCAACTTTAAACCTTCCTGTCAGTCTACGGTTAGGTAGCTACTGACTTAGCAGAGGTCCACGGTTAACATGGAAAACATTTTAAGTGAATGTTTAACGGGGGGTCAATATTCTGTGTTAAACTAGGCTTATGTTGAGCGTTAACGATGTTTCGTAGCCTTAAAGCTGATTTACGTTCTATTTTCTTGGAGGAAAGTAAAAAAAAAGAGCCTATTTATTTCTTTGGCAGTTAATGGTGTTTTTAGTTTCGATTGTATTTATTTTCCCGCTGCAGTGTATTTGTTCATAGTATGCTTGTTTTAAAGCAGAAGGTGTAGGCGAAAGACAAACGTTGCGTTCAACAACAGCAATGACACTGTTGATGCAGCAAGGTCAGCTAACGAGAGGAGAACCACAGAGCTAACATTAAAAAAAATGAAGCAAAAGTTAGACTTCCTATGAAAGCTATCAGTTTCATAGTTGTAAACGGGTCTTGGTCGGGATTTAACATAATTTGTGAAGCCCATTTCTCGTTTTTAAGGACAGAGATAATCCCTCTATGTCAGCCTATAGCTATATTTAGCTATCTTGTTGGCAAGCTAACAAGACTATCATTTCCGTCATTTTTATTAAATATCCATTAGTATTTAGGAGAGATTTGTATAGTTTTATTCACCCAATGTATCCCAGTAATGGTTGATGTAGCATTAAATATTAGTCAGCAATTTTCTTTTGTAAAAATATATATTTGAAGTATATAATATAGAGTGCGCTGGATCAGTCTGCTGTTCTTGCTTATTTTAACTGATATATAAAGTAGACGCCTTGGGTGGAAAAAAAAATAACCATTGGAAACTGGTTCCAGCAGGTGGCAGTAATTAAACTAATAAAACACAAAGCAGCCGATAAGGCAAAAGAAGCAGTTACTGGATTAGTTTAGTAAGCCAAGCCTCATAGGAAAGTGACTTTATAAAATAAAATGTCTCGATGTAAACCCTCTTGTGCCTTCACCGATAACAATTTTTAAACTGAGCTGTAATTTTGTGACACTGTTGGAAGGACACGCTCCGCCAAACAGTGATGCCTTCTGTTCAGTCAGCCATGTTGTCACCTGCTGTCAGTAATTAACCTCTTATTTACCAGTATTTCTAGTCTAGTTATACTAACAAAAGTAAAACACATGGTCTCACGAATAGCATGTATAATACAGTATCAGCACATACTGCATCATGTGTTACCACTGAAAATGAACATGTCGGATTATAAATGTAAATAGTGTTAATAAAAGAGATGTTTTTTTCATTTGTACAGTACATAGAAGAAAAATAAAGGCAATGCAATAGACTTTTAAAGACTCTTTAAGTTTTGCAGTTTGTTTGTTTTCAAGGCTTTGACACAGTTCCCAGGTTTAGGTGAAGAAGTAATGTGGTAGAGAATGTGTTAATCTCCAAAGCAGTTTTAAAGTTGAAGATGTTTCTCCTCTCATCTAAGAGGCTTCATCAGTTCTACTGTCCTGGTGCGGAGTTTCCAGGTATTTATCTATCCACCCCAAACGGGGGTGTGAGAAAGTGTAGTGTACGAATATTTGTATGTATGACTTGCATCAAGTTGCCTGTGGGCAGGAAAGGTTCAGTGATACTTGTTGTTGACTGAAGGCTGTAAAGCAACATTTGGTGTTGTGTTTGTAGATACTACAATAGTGTATTATTTAGAAATGTTGAGAAACAGCACAGTGGGCAATTCTCCGAGGTTTGCTTGCGTGTTGATAGTATTGAAGACAGTTGACCAATGTCATCTGATTGTTATTGCCTTCTGTATCTGTTCCCAGGCAGACAAGCGAGCACATCACAATGCGCTGGAACGCAAACGCAGGGACCACATCAAAGACAGCTTTCACAGTTTACGAGATTCCGTGCCTTCGCTACAAGGGGAGAAGGTGAGAGGCTTCATGACCAGTGGAAAAAAAAACATCACAAACACCTTTGCACTCGTGGGCTTTTCACACCAAGTCACAAATTCACATTTATTCCTTGTGAATTGGTCTCACAGAAGTTAAACTGTATGATCCAAGCATCAGTTCGCTCAGGAAGAAAATGTGTTCTATCCCCGCTTACTTCGTAAGATGACCTTGATTGGTTGATTCGTTTCTTATAGTAAAAGTCGGTACCATGAAAATAATATTTTTTGTTTACTACTTAAGAATCAGGTTTCTTTCATTTTGAATGAAGGATGGGACCATGGGGTTAACACATAATTACTGACTGTAATATCAATGTATTACCAAAGTGAATGCACTTGACTTTGGGTGCTATCAGAGAAACTCCGTTCTGGTTCAGGCCCCACTTTTGTTCTGGAGTTTGAGAACTTTGGTGCTTTCTGGCGAACCAGGCCGCAGTGAAACCAAAGGGGTAGGACGTTACTCAGTGTTACTATGGCAACAATAAACAAACATAGCATTAGCAAAATGGCAGATTGCATGGAGCATCTTTAACCTTTGGTCCTGTTGCTACAGGTGTTTGTTTTTATCCAATAGTCCAGCAAGCACCAGCTGTTGATGGCAAGAAGACATAGAATGCGAACATTATGGAAAAAAGTAACTTTTTTATACCTAAGTAACCGGAACCAGCACGAAGCTCTGCCGGTGTGAAAGTCCCACTTGTGCAACTAGGCTGATTTAAAAAGAAAGCGTCTGAATTACGAGACACTGTGTTGTCCCTCCACGGCTGTTTTTGACTCTTGTTGACAGCACTCTGTTTTACAGGCTTCCCGAGCTCAGATTTTAGACAAAGCAACAGAGTACATCCAGTTGATGAGACGGAAAAACAACACCCACCAGCAAGACATTGATGACTTAAAGAAGCAGAATGCTCTTTTGGAGCAGCAGGGTGAGCACTGACTCTTTTTTTTCCGTTCTGGTAGAGCTGCGTTGTTTGTGTTGAAGTATGAAACCCACTGGTTTCCATTTTGACATCACAAATTCCTGGCGACTGCAATTTTTTAGATTTTTTTTTTTTATCATGTTTGTCATACTGTGTTGCAAATACAGAGTAGTCAGAGAAGTGCACAGAGTTATGCGAGCTTGTCTGTCAATCAAGATGCGCCAGCTCAGATATTTTTATATGCTGTATTTTATATGAACTTGATTCATACTGTTTACTGATTTATTTTGTCATTATTTAATCAATTACTAGACAATTCAGGCAACCCCATATTCATTCCAGGGTACCCTGTGTGGGGTCGCAACCCCAAGGTTTAAGAACACTGATCATTATTTGTCTCTCTTTGGTCTTTTCAGTTCGTGCACTGGAAAAAGCCAAGGGGAACAATCAACTTCAGACAAACTATTCTTCTGACAGCAGCTTGTACACAAACCGTAAAGGCAGCGCCGTGTCTGCCTTCGACGGCGGGTCCGACTCCAGCTCTGAATCAGAGCCGGACGAGCCACCCACCAGAAAGAAACTCCGCTCGGAGCCCAGTTAGGCTCCCGCTGTTCCTGGCACTCTAAAGTGACTCTTGTAACCCACCAGCCCTGATCTTCTCGTACCTGTCCGCACTTCCTAGTCCTGCCTTCCTACGCCAGTCCAGAAGACCAGGTGGAGACTGTGTGAGCAAGGTGCTATTATGTTTCAAACGCTTCTACTCCCTTTCTATCACCCAGCAAGCATCACATCACTCCTGTTGGGATTAAAACCACAACTTTTACGACCCTGAAAATGAGGCAGCTGTGCAGTTTTTGAAGGATTAATGCTTTTTAAATTTCATAACGATGATTTCATAAAACTAACGTGGAAACCACAGGATATGAGGCTCTACTGAAGCTTTGCGGTTGTTGAAACCATTTCACTGAACCCATGTGCAGGAATTCCAAGACCAATGACAAGAAACGTTAAGTATGACTAGTTTACCTTTTTAATATTGATACTTTTCCAACGAGAGAAAAATGTGAAGTTGTTTTTGCAAAATGCGACCCCCTTTTCCTTTAACATTGGTGGCAGCAATTTTTGTCGTTAAAAATGTTCTCGAATTGGAACGATCTATTTATACTGTAGTGACGCCCTGAAATGATTTTCTTAACACATATATATATATATTCTTATGGCGGATTGACTTCTGGTTCGACTTGAGATTTTTCCAGAGAGACTTTGTCGTTTTAGCGGAGCTCTCGCACGTTTCACGATTTAGTTGATTTTTTCCCAATCAATATTGTTTTGATATAAATACTGAATAAAATGTGGGTATAAAAAAAATCCCCACGATGGAAACGGAATGTTACAACGAGCAGTTAAAGGGCAGTGATGTTTATTTTTTCAATGGGATTCCGTGTCAGTGTGTACTATATAACACTGTAAACTCTTAAATGGCGTCAGCTCTGCAGAGAGAAGCCTTCCCTTAAAATATTTGCCTGTGCTGGGGTTGTCTGTCTTTCTTTACTCTGAGCTGTATTAGTGTGTATGTAGTCAATCATTTGTTTTGTTCCATTCCATGGAAATTACTGGTATGTTGTACATACTGCCAACGGTTGTCTTGCAAGTTAAGGCATACCTTTGTTATGAGACTATGAATAAAACTATTTTATCCTTTTTCTGTGTAATTGTTATTATTACTATTATTATTTTTATTTAATTATTATTAGCTATTGGTCAAAAGCTTGTATAGTTTGTAAAGTAAGGAGAATACTAATGTATATATATATGACCTTTGAAAGTAAACTACTGTAAAAGTAGCTCACTTTATCTTTAAAATAAACATTTTAATTCGATATTTCAACAACGGTTGGGATCCAGAATACGAACGTGTCCTTCCAAGTAACATAAAAACCGCATTTGTGTTTTTGTTTTTAATAAATACGGGGGATATATTCTTTAGGCTAACTCTTAAATATCCGGTTAGCATTAGTCTAGCCACCACAGCCGTGGCAATGTTTGTTTTAACGCACCTAAACAAGTCCCCGGGCTCGTGACACTCCCACCGCGGGAGGCTGCTTCACCTCGACAAGGATGTTCGGCAGTGTGATGCCTTCAGGTTCCCCGGGAATGCGAGGAACGACTTTATTCCTGACGTTGGTAATGTAGGATACTGGAGAGACATTTAAAGGTTTGTTTTTTGTTTTGTTTTTTTAAGGATCAACGTGATGTTTGCTTGTGAAAGGGAGTTGTTTTATTTACAAAACGATTTTTATTTGATCAAACGTATTTCTCTCATTTACATAATACCGATTTAACCGCTCGTTGTTTGACTCATTTGTATTTCCCAAAAGATTACGGTTTTTTTAAGGAGATGAGATATTATTTTGACCACGGATGTAAACATTTATTTAAAAAGTCGTTATTTATATGAGCAAACTTTACAGGAGAGGAAAAATAACTAATTACTGAGTTTATTAAACATGCCTTTGGTTGCTGTTTAGTACGTTGTGTTCACAGATTACTGTCTGGGAAATATGTCCCGTTGCATATTTGCATTACATTTATTTGCTGTATTGTAATTTTAAGAAGAAATTTAATATTTACTTTAACATATTTATTTCGTATCAACTGAAAATATTTTATGAAAAGTTAAAATATTGAACGACTATAGAGAAAAAAATACTATTTTGTCTTTTTTGGAGGGGTAAACAATCGGTTAATAAACCACAACTTTAAAAGGGAAGCTTAATAAACCGATAATGCTAAGATCAGTCTTGAGGAGAAAAAAAAAAAAAAAAAAGTTTCCAGTGGGTTCGTGAAGGCACCACACCGAAACAGTACGACGTCCTGTTCAGGCTGCTGCTTCTCGGAGACTCGGGCGTTGGGAAGACGTGTATGTTGAGGAGGTTCACGGAAGGTGAATTTGATCCCTCACATATTTCCACCATCGGTAAGCTACAAGCCTTAAACTGTTTTGCAGTGACACTTTCCCAAGTCATCACTGTCATTAACTCCGCCAGTCAACCCCCCGGGTGCGTTTATTCAACCGAATTAACTCGATTAATATCGGAAATCGAAATTCGTAATCTTTACTTTTATGACATTTAAGTTTCAGGAATTTCTCTTATTGTTATTACGAGGCCTACTAAGAAGGATAAGTGTAAACAGCCTCAGGTCACACACCACTAATACATGATTGATTGCTGTTTTAAGCAATTTCCCTGCGCAAACCTGCGTTTTTCACATGGTGGGTTGCGGCCCAAATGTGTCTCAAATTGGCAGGTTTTTGGACTGTCAATAGGACTGTGGTGTTGATACGTGCTTGGAAACACTCATATTGGGGGGAAAAAACCAAACAATAATTTTACCGACTTTTATTCTAAATCGTGAAAAGTACTCAGAGCAAAGACTTAAAACGAAGCAAATTAATTCTGGCCAAGACGCTTTATCAAGAACATAAATAAATATTTGTACTTTTTTCATATAATCTTTTGTACATATGTTCGTGGGAAAGGTGAGTCTAACAGAAGACAGATGTCGACCTTTCAAAAGGTGTTTCCTTTAATAATTCATGTATATTTCCATAGAGGTGTCGCAAACAGCTTTGACAAGATTTTTTATTCCATCTTTGTGTCTTTGTTACATGAAAAATTAGAATTTAAATTAAAACAAATATATAATTTGTTTTAACAAATATTTGTGACTCATTGATCTATGTCTCCAAAATGTCTTATCTGACCTGCCCTAAATCACTGGGGCGTGGCACAATAACGTACCATAAGAGACCCTCAGGTGTCCCACATAAATGGTCCGATTATTTTAATTGTTTTTCTTCTAATAATTTTTCTGCATTTCTCTATATGACATTGGGAAACAAGGGGGCAGTAGAGTGCTAAAAAGCTCAAAAGAAAAAGACAGAGACTGTTAAAGGAGTCACGTGTGTCTTTCTTCAATTCCTGCAAGTACATCAGTGTTGTGTTCAACTAAACAGGCCCAGGTTTAACACTGGGATTGTGAGTAAATTGAAACTAGAAGATCATAATGTTTCATTACTCTTCCAATACTTTTTGTACAAGACAAGACAGTCAAAACAAGCCACTCTGCAGTGACATCGAGGTGGCGTAATTAACCATGGAAATACTGAACATGTACGAATGAAGTGATTGCGACTTAGCACCACATTCCTGAACAGCCTTGTCCTGTCGTCTAGCAATGGTTCACAACTTCAGTAGCCATTTAAAAGCAGTGTTTTCCACCTCGACGTAATATAGTGCCTTTAGTTGATTCACAACAATAGACACTTTTAAAGCGTAAACAAACACACAGCAGCGTATGTCACTGTGGCCATGACTCACTTCGCTGAAAACATTCTGTCTCTGTTTCCTTTTCTACAGGGGTGGACTTTAAAATGAAAACATTAGAAATAGACGGAGTCAGGGTGCGAGTGCAGATATGGTGAGTAAAACTCACCCTCCGGCTGCTCATCACTTTCATTGGCTGATTGTATAAACCTGGTGCTCTATCTGTGCATATTTGCAGGGACACCGCAGGTCAGGAGCGGTACCAGACCATAACCAAACAGTACTACAGGCGAGCACAGGTGACTGCCCCCCCGCCCCCATAGTAAACAGTCTGAGGAGTCATGTGACCTTCACGGGGTCTCTGGAGCTCTTACTAACGTTCTGTGCATTCCTGTGCAGGGTATTATCTTGGTTTACGACATCACAAACCAGCAGTCCTTCCTGCACATATCCAAGTGGGCCAGTGATGTAGATGAAGTAAGACAGGAAGTATTTCACCTCCCCGTACTTTACTGCGACCCTGTGTTTCAGATAAGAGTTGTTAGAGAGTATCAGAGTGAATTACAGGATACCCTTTGTCTTAGTTTTTTGTTTTTTATGTTGCCATTGTTTGCAGTGTGCTCCAGACAAAGTGCAGAGGATGCTGATAGGAAACAAGTGTGATGAGGAGCCGAGGAGGCAGGTCGCCAAGGAGCAAGCAAGCAAGGTTCGGCCCTTCAGCTCTTATAACTGTGTTTTATAAATGACGGGCGTGGTGCCTGGATTTGGATTGTGGATTTTTAAATGTCGTGGCATTCAACTAAACAGGCCCAGGTTTAACACTGGAATTGTGAGTAAATTGAAACTAGAAGATCATAATGTTTCATTACATATACTTTTTGTACAAGACAAGACAGTCAAAACAAGTAATTAACCATGGAAATACTGAACATGTACGAATGAAGTGATTGCGACTTAGCACCACATTCCTGAACAGCCTTGTCCTGTCGTCTAGCAATGGTTCACAACTTCAGTAGCCATTTAAAAGCAGTGTTTTCCACCTCGACGTAATATAGTGCCTTTAGTTGATTCACAACAATAGACACTTTTAAAGCGTAAACAAACACACAGCAGCGTATGTCACTGTGGCCATGACTCACTTCGCTGAAAACATTCTGTCTCTGTTTCCTTTTCTACAGGGGTGGACTTTAAAATGAAAACATTAGAAATAGACGGAGTCAGGGTGCGAGTGCAGATATGGTGAGTAAAACTCACCCTCCGGCTGCTCATCACTTTCATTGGCTGATTGTATAAACCTGGTGCTCTATCTGTGCATATTTGCAGGGACACCGCAGGTCAGGAGCGGTACCAGACCATAACCAAACAGTACTACAGGCGAGCACAGGTGACTGCCCCCCCGCCCCCATAGTAAACAGTCTGAGGAGTCATGTGACCTTCACGGGGTCTCTGGAGCTCTTACTAACGTTCTGTGCATTCCTGTGCAGGGTATTATCTTGGTTTACGACATCACAAACCAGCAGTCCTTCCTGCACATATCCAAGTGGGCCAGTGATGTAGATGAAGTAAGACAGGAAGTATTTCACCTCCCCGTACTTTACTGCGACCCTGTGTTTCAGATAAGAGTTGTTAGAGAGTATCAGAGTGAATTACAGGATACCCTTTGTCTTTGTTTTTTGTTTTTTATGTTGCCATTGTTTGCAGTGTGCTCCAGACAAAGTGCAGAGGATGCTGATAGGAAACAAGTGTGATGAGGAGCCGAGGAGGCAGGTCGCCAAGGAGCAAGCAAGCAAGGTTCGGCCCTTCAGCTCTTATAACTGTGTTTTATAAATGACGGGCGTGGTGCCTGGATTTGGATTGTGGATTTTTAAATGTCGTGGCATTCTTCACTGTAAGGTCCTAGAGCAAGGGTGTCAAACATATGGCCTGCGGGCCAAACCCGGCCCGCTGTGCGGTTCAATCTGGCCTGCTTGATGAAAATTGAAAACATTCTCACAAACTCTTCACGCCTTTATGTGATATGTTTTGTAAAATTATATTTCTCTAAAAATTTCAAATATACTTGTATTGCTTCTCAAGAAAACAAGTGGGGAAAAACGTGGACTATTTATAGGTCTTCATGTTTGTACCAGTCCAGCCCACCTCACATCTCATTAGGCTATATGTGGCCCCTGAACCACGAATAGTTTGAAAACAAATATTGTCACAGAAAAAAATATATAAACGCATAAATCATTGATTTTTTCCCCCCCACTGTGACACAAATTTAAAAAAAAAGAAAAATTTAATTAAATAGACTGATACAATATCTCTGGTTTCCCCCCATGGGGCCCTGGTCCTCACTTTGGGAACCACTGTATTATATTAATTCTCCTCCGAGGCTCAGCTCATTAAAGTTATGCTTTTGCAGCAGTATCTGTTTTTTTTGGATACATTTGTGTTGTTAGAGAGTATCAGAGTGAATTACAGGATACCCTTTGTCTTTGTTTTTTGTTTTTTATGTTGCCATTGTTTGCAGTGTGCTCCAGACAAAGTGCAGAGGATGCTGATAGGAAACAAGTGTGATGAGGAGCCGAGGAGGCAGGTCGCCAAGGAGCAAGCAAGCAAGGTTCGGCCCTTCAGCTCTTATAACTGTGTTTTATAAATGACGGGCGTGGTGCCTGGATTTGGATTGTGGATTTTTAAATGTCGTGGCATTCTTCACTGTAAGGTCCTAGAGCAAGGGTGTCAAACATATGGCCTGCGGGCCAAACCCGGCCCGCTGTGCGGTTCAATCTGGCCTGCTTGATGATAATTGAAAACATTCTCACAAACTCTTCACGCCTTTATGTGATATGTTTTGTAAAATTATATTTCTCTAAAAATTTCAAATATACTTGTATTGCTTCTCAAGAAAACAAGTGGGGAAAAACGTGGACTATTTATAGGTCTTCATGTTTGTACCAGTCCAGCCCACCTCACATCTCATTAGGCTATATGTGGCCCCTGAACCACGAATAGTTTGAAAACAAATATTGTCACAGAAAAAAATATATAAACGCATAAATCATTGATTTTTTCCCCCCCACTGTGACACAAATTTAAAAAAAAAGAAAAATTTAATTAAATAGACTGATACAATATCTCTGGTTTCCCCCCATGGGGCCCTGGTCCTCACTTTGGGAACCACTGTATTATATTAATTCTCCTCCGAGGCTCAGCTCATTAAAGTTATGCTTTTGCAGCAGTATCTGTTTTTTTTGGATACATTTGTGTCTGACGTTCACCAACTAAATTTGTCAGAGGATCAAACGTTTTCATAATTTTTTCAAATTTGAATTTTCGTGTAAGAAAATATTGCCGGCTGCACTGAACGGTTCAGTGGACCGCATTCAGCCTGCAGGCCACCAGTTGATGACCGCTGCTTTAAGCACAAAACTGAATGAATCCACAAGTTGTGCATTTTGTGAAGATCCCTGGAAAAAACTCTACCTCTGATTGTTGCAGCTTGCCCAAAACTACAAAATGGATTTCTTTGAAACCAGTGCTTCAAGCAATGTCAACATCAGTGAGGTACAACAAACAGAACCCACAGAAATGTAACAAACTAAAAAACATCCGGTGACATTCACTGTGTTCTCTTCCCTTTCTTCCTTCAGTCGTTCACCCGACTGACCGAACTGGTGCTGCAGGCTTACACGAAAGAGGCAGACAACCTGTTGTCATCCCTAGATGAATATTTAGACAAGGCTGCTTTAGGAGGAAGTAAGGACAACATCGCCCACAGGGGCTGTGCCTGTTAGAGAAAACAAAAAGCCACAGCTGATACTTTCTACATGTGTTACTTCAACATTCTGGTTTTTTAACTGCTACAGTGTTGGCTACATGTCGGTTTTACATGGTCGTACGTGCAGTGAGCGACTGCTACCAGCAGAGGGCCAAGTGGCTTCATGCTCACCGAACTTTGAAAGCAGTGAAGCGTTTGTTGAATATTGCTGGATTCTTAGAAAATGCTGTTTTTGCACCAAATATTGGTTTTCTTTTTGCTTCATATTTGACTTTAAATTTAGAATTTACGATTGAGCCTTTTTATACTGATGTTTACAGTGTATTGTGGTACGTGGAGGTGTGTGTAGGACGAAGTTAAATGAATGAAACCAAATATTACATTTTTCCATTTTCTTTGTGCCAAGTCCAGTAACATTTGTAACGCAGTCCATATTTATTTCCCGCCCTGAGTGTACACGTCCACGCTGGTTTAAGAATGTAATTGACGTTGTTAGTTTGGTTTAGTTTTGGTTCATCCACTGTAGAAGGGTTTTTTTGACAATTAAATTAAAAGCAATGCAATTATTGTAATCGACTTTAAATTATGAAATAAATAAATTTGACTTTTAAATGCGATTGTTATTCTTTGGTGGTCCGAGTCATGCTGAGTCACAGAGTTTGGACGGACAGTGAAGTTGGTACAAAGTGTAGAGTCATTTATTTTTCATCACACACTCTGGAAAGCAGCTGATTACACCTTAAATTATTTATTAATGTGTAAACTGATACGTAACCAATTACATAAAAAACAATACATTTTATGTCTACTTTTTTTGTTCGGATGGGGCTTTATGTCTAATGGTGTGTACATTGTATATTTCGTGTATTTACTCATCATTAATGTTTGAAAAAATAATTCCAATAATTTGAAAGAATTCTTTTATTTTGAAAGTTTTAATGACATAAAGTCGAGACAGTATTGAGTGAAACGACAAATTCCTCCGTGTGACACTTAATAAAATCATGAGCGTGTGTTTGCACAATCAGTTACACCAGTCCATCTGAAGCACCATGGTGTCGAACGTATCGCGTGTCAGGTGTGGATCAGTTTCCTGCAGAGACACCAGACACCCATGAAAGGCAGCGTGACACCCTGAGACGGTCAGGTGACCCAGAGGCTGGGTACTGTCGAGCACAACAGTCCTCTCTGCCTCCAGTCTGGGAACACGCAGGTGAAGATGACGTTCATCGCCAAGACCTTCTACGACCTGAAGGCCACCACCGTGGAGGGCGACCCGGTGGACTTCAACGTGTACCGGGGCCGGGTGGTCCTGATAGAGAACGTGGCGTCCCTCTGAGGTACCACCACCCGGGACTTCCACGAGCTGAACCAGCTCCAGAGCAAGTACCCGCATCGGCTGGTGGTCCTGGGTTTCCCCTGTAACCAGTTTGGATATCAGGTGAGATCGAGAGCGTTATTGAATGAAACGTGTTTCCGGTCATAGATTTATTAAATGACGTCATTCTCTGACAATTCAGCTGGATGTTTACAGCCAATTAGAAAACTTTATTTGACCATGAGCCATGAGATTAACACTGTGTAATAGACTGTGTAAGAAAAAACATACATTTTTACTAGGGATGTCCTATAATATCGGATGACCAATATTATCGACCCAATATTAGCATATATTTACGTAGTACCTGTAAGAATCGTTATCGGTTTTTCCTCCAATGATGAAAATCCGACAAAGCAATGCCTGGGTTTCGCTAAAATTATGTGTGCTCTAAAAAGTAGTTTTGGGGTTAAACGGCTGTATATTAAAGTGAAAGCCACTAGAGGGCAGCATTGCGGCTCATTTAATTAATCTCTTTTAATAATGAGGGGATTGTATGCAGAGTGTTGGTGTCAGCAACTCATACAGTGGTTTGTACTGATAAATAAATAAATACAGAATACTGGTATCACTTGATATCGGAATCGTAAATTAAGTATTTGGACAATATCGGAATATCAGACATCGGCGAAAAGTTAATATCGGACATCACTAATTTTTTCACCAATTTTCACATTAAAATTAGTCCGAAGAATATAAGGAAAAAATAAGAATAATAATAATATGACAAAATGAAAGAACAATAGAAAAAAGGAGAAGATGAAAAATCTAACCAACACCATCAATCGTATTTGTGCCACACAAGCTGTAGCCGCTGCATCTCCGCGTTATCATTTTAATTTTAATCATCCGCTCAACTCTCTGCTGAGGATCGGTTGCGTAACTGCATAATCAGCTTAATTCCCGTCATTACCAAAATTAGAAGCAACTTTGTGTGAAACCTTCCTCCCAGCTCTCGCTGGGCTCCAGTCAAACAGCTGGATGCCATTAAGTGAAAGTGAACACTTGTGTTTTCCAGGAGAACTGCTCCAACAGTGAGATCCTGAGTTCTCTGCAGCACGTGCGTCCCGGCGGCGGCTTCAGGCCCAACTTCACCATCTTTCAGAAGTGTGACGTAAACGGAGCGAACACGCACCCGGTCTTTGCCTATCTGAAAGACAAGCTCCCCTATCCCGATGACGACCCCAACTCCCTCATGCTGGACCCCAAATTTCTGGTTTGGAGTCCCGTCAACAGGACAGATGTGTCATGGAACTTTGAGAAGTTTGTCATCGGCCCAGAAGGAGAGCCGTTCAAAAGATACAGCAAAAAGTTCCCCACAATCGATATTGAGCCCGACATCCAAAGACTGTTAAAGCTAACTAAGAGCTAAGATTAGCCCCTGTGTTTTGTTCATTCAAGTCTTCTGCCGTCTTCCACACTTTTAAGCCTTATTAAATGACGTTAATATTCTAAAACCCTGAGGGAATATTTCCTGAAGCCACGTGAGAGCTTAACAGTAGTGGACGATTACAGTGCAAATGTATAATCACCAGGAGAAAAACACAAATGTCACTTTATAGGGATAGTTTAAAAAAAAGAAAAAGAAATGTGGGTTTTTTCTAAAAAAAAAAAAAGAAATGTGGGTTTTTTTGTCATATGCATTATCGTCCAGCAGATGGTGCTGTTGATGTAACCACGCATAAATAATCTTCCGTCCTGCATTTATGTATTGAAATTCAATCTCAAAATGCTTGCCATTGAATAAAAACATTAAAAGAACTTTTTAAAATTTCTTGCTCGTTTTTATAAGATGCAATAAACGATGATTATACAGTTGTGTGTCTCTTATTCATGTTGACTTAATTAGATAATCACAATAAAGAGTCTTATTTCACCGTAGAAGAAGATGCCATGATCATAATGGATGGTGTCCCTGCACTAAAAGGCACTCTGGGATCATTCTCAGGCCACTTCTCTGCACTGTTCATCCTGCTGATTCATTCATTGTACACGGAGAGCTCCACTTCCTCCATTAATCCGGTGGATCTACGTTTCCCGTAGAGATCTGCTGATAGCAGCTGTGTGAATAAGGGTCCACGGTGACACAAGTTTAGGGAAACTCTGCTCTGGCTGCGTTGTAATGATCGCTCACTCTGCTTTCCAACAGCAGATTGTTAGATTTTCTGCACGTCAGCCGATGATGTCAGAGCCCCGGGCTCCGCTTTAATGTGTTTGGGAAGTGGCTCCAGGACAATTGCCCCAGCAGTGAAACCTATAGTCACTCAACCCAGGATTGGTTTTCATTTCACGGTTGCTAACAGTCTGGCTAACTACTCCTTTCCCGGTATCGAATTTAAAAATATGTTTGTTGTCAGGATATTTTAAACATTTATGTGACATCTAATCGTATACAGTCGGTGTGTTCTTAATTACCGAGTCTTTACAGGGAGTTAACTAGATTAGAATTTTCTGGAACCTCTTGTCCACACTGACTACACTGTCTCTTAGAGCCACAGTTTAACTTCATAAACTTCCTGATATGACGTCATTTAAAAAATCCTTTAAAATAAAGTAAGATGTCCGGAACAATGTCCAAAATAAAGATTCGAACACATAACCGTAGACTTTTTCTCGTTGTAATATATTAATTAATTGACATTGTATTTTTTGTACCTTTAAAAACAAGAAATATACCAGATATTATTTAACATGTTCCACCTCGTTTTTAGATACAAGATAAAAATAATCAAAGTAATCCATTGGGGTTCCACACGGTATTTTAAAAACGCTGCTTTAAAGTACCAAACATTCCTGATTTATTCCGTCTAAAATGTTTGATTATACAACCTTGACTTGTCTCCACATATATTTGAAGCAACAGTCGATTATTATTTAAACATAAATAATATAGTTAGATAATAAGTTTGTGAACTACGAAAAAAAACTGGTAATCCAACATGGCGGTCTCTGTGAAGAAGACCCACTCCTGATGTAAACGAAGGGCCTCATTCTGGGGTTATTACAGCAGCGACTCTCACTTAAAAGTCGTGTGGACTGAAAATAATTGTATTTTTAATTAGACTGTTAACAAACCCATTAGGTTTATATCAATGTCACAGTATTTTGGACATTTTATATGTAATGTCACCTCATTCTTTTGTACCTTTTTTATAAGGAGTGGGAATTCTTCGTTTTTGTAACCCCAGGTGAGCCCCGCTGCCACGGCAACGTTTGCTCTTTAACCCCCCTTCTCCAGCGGCTTTTCTCGCGAGACTCGGTGCCAGTGAGAGAGAGGGGAGGCAGTCTGGATGATCTCATCCCTCCAGCAGCTGCATAGCGCAGCGAGGCCAACACGTAACTTTCTATCAAACTTCTAAGTTGCGTCCCAGAAGGAGAACACTGTGGAGCTTTTATCTGTTCCAACACGTAGCGAAGCGCTGCGTGTTTCCGACTGTAGCAAAGGTAAGAATCGACTCAGAGCCGTTTGTGTTTTGGAGCTTATTAACTGAAAGGAGAGAAGAGAAAACCCACAGCCTCTGGTTTGGTGTTTCACCCGAAAAGCTTGAGTCGGAGTCGGGGGGAGAGGTGAGTGTTGCGTGGTGTTGGTCAGGTGCGTGCTGTTGTTCGATGCCCCCACACAGCATCTGTGGGCTGTGTGAGGACTAAGCTAATGTTTGTGATGTGTTTAGGTGCAGTGTTGAGCCAGTGCGCAGTCACTGACAGCGTTTTTCTTCAACTGTGGTTTATAGTCGACCGTTGCCTGTCAAACACATGTATGTGCTGCGGCGTCGTTGCTGCTGTAGGACGTGTCTGTCACGGGCACATTTACAGGTGGCACTGTGTGTACCACACACACACACACACTCACTCACCACTACAGCAGAGGTTGTACTGACGTCTCGTTGTATGTGCTGTGAATCAGTGGTGGTTTTTGAACACGGTGTTGAACGTGATGTTGCCACTGTGACACATCTTCCCAGACTGTCCACATCTGCGCCGTGGTTTTGTTTACTGCCTGCCCGGTGCAGCATCTGCCTCGACAGACGAGGCCACGCTGACAGTACGGTACCATGTTGTACGGAGTATTGTTCATGTCTGAGCGTGTATTCTTCAGAGTCCCGGTGGTCGACCATTATAATCGTATGACTCTGAGTGAGACCGTCAACAACAGGCATGTGTTGTCAGGTAGACTTCACAATTCAAACAGTGTAATTAGCAGTTAGCTTGGGCTACTTTTGAATACGCTAAAGCAGAGGGGGTCAAACTCTTTTTTTTTCTTTTTTCTTTTACCCTGGGGGCCACATCAGCAATACGCATCCCCTTAAAGGCCCAGTTGTAAATGGTAAATTGTTGTAAACGCATTAATAAATGTTTCTGCAGTTGATTATTTTTTATTCAAGTTACAAATACACTACATTGCTGTGTAATAAAAAACACTTTTAATTTATCAGGTTAAGAAACTCTGCTGCGTGGACTTTAAATCAAATGCTTTTTTTTGGCTCCTGCGGGCTATACAAAATAACCTGGAGGGCTGCATTTGGCCCCCAGGCCTTGAGTTTGACACATGTGGGCTAAAGTTATATTTTATTTACACCAAAAAAGTCACGTGGCTGATAATTTATCATTAACTATTATTTCTGAAATAAGTCTGTATGTGACCGTCTGGTGCTACTCGCCTGCTATTAGACATCCCAGCTGTTAGTCACACATTCTAGTTTTCTGACCTGTAACATCTAGTCATACTTGTCCTTGGCTTCACTCCTGACTACAGACCATAATGTCTAGTATTTCTGAGGTTAATGGGTTCAATGAGTAGATTAAGTAATCTTCCAAAGAAAAGGCCAAGAGTTCAATGCCACGCTTTGCTGATCCTAGTCAAGTCAAGAAATAGTGTTGACTTGACATGAATACAGAAAAAATCTCTGTCAGTTTTTTTTCCTTCCAGGTAAGGTTTATTTACTCTGTCAGTTTTTTTTCCTTCCAGGTAAAAATGCTAGCTGCCACATACCATACAAAGTTCAAACACAAACAAGTATTTTATCTCATATTTGCAAAATACCAGCTGTTACACATAAGGCACTCGTGATGAGTAATGTTATTAACAAACTCATTTTATAGCATGTAATGACAAGTTACAATCCAAACAGAATGAAAACCCATAACAGAATGAGAACAACAGTATGAAACTGTGAGTGTTTAACATTAATAATTAGCAGTTTGTCCTCTGACTGGTATTGTGTCTGCTCTACTACCACTGATTGGTGTGAGTCAAGTGAAAAAGCAAAGCTCTGGCCTGTAGCTCTTGGCAAGGATCAAGGATTTTTAGCATTCTCGTCGGGCTTAACTGACCTGCGGTGGGCATGACTGATCACACAGTTCCTCTGCCATGATTTTAATAGTAAGTCTAATCTCCTGAAATCTGCAGGTTTAACACTAAATGACTTACTGCTTCCTATGATGGGATTTGTACAAAGGAGTCAAAGTAACCCTAACTGAGTGGAACTCTGTTACAATATGTGGAGAAGGAGTTTGCTGCTGTTGTTATTGTTGTTGTAGTTGGACCAGTAAATGGGCCAAATTTGTGTTTGGTGCTTTTGACTAAATGCTGTTCAAGTTTGAGATAAGAGAGACCTGTGTGGACATGCCTTGGACTCACACTCTCCTCATAACATATTGCAGGAAATAGTTTTCTGTCGTCCCTGGTTTCCTAGTGCATCTGCAGGCAAGGTTGTAAACATTTTAACTCCTCTTCTTTCTTTGTCTTGACTCTTGTTTCTACATTTCCTACCAGTATTCATCTCTGGCTTAACTGATAGAGTTTTGCTATTTTAACAGCTAGCTTATCTTCATTCCTCACTCTCTCAACAACAACAAATGTAGTCGTGCCTGATATGATTTGACTAGTGTCTCCCCAGCCGGCACATTCGCACAGTAATGCTTCCTGTTGCTAAGTCGGGCTTATGTATCCATTGTCTCTTGTGCATTGGCTGGAGGGGAATAGCCTGAGCACAGATAAAAGACAACAACAAGTGGAGCATTGTACTGCGTTATAATTTGCTTCGCCGGAATGTGTGGGCAGTAATTATGCTAAAAGGTCACTCCTGAAAAGCCTAAATTACTGTTTGTTTAGTTTAATGGATGTGATTGTTTCTGTGATTAATTTTCAGTTACATAAGCACCAAAAAATCTGTTATGTGATGAGGTGAGAGTTATTCGTCAGGGATTCGTGTTGTCTACTACATGGACAAAAATGCTGACATAACTTTTTCAAACCTGACAAGCAAAGACATGACCATCTGTTCTCCAGTCAGTCATTTCTCACAGTCTGACAACAGACTAGACCATGGACCAATCAGAGTTGCATATAGTCAAGCATAATTAATGTTCGCTGTGAGGCTAAATTTTCCAGACTATTCCGTGACGAAGACAAATGAATCATGTACTTGTTAAGCTTTGAGACAAACCACTGGTAACATGGTGAAATATGTCACTTTTTCAGTAAATGGGAAAAAACCCTCCTATAATTATACCGTCATATTGTATGTCTGGCTTGTATTTGTCATCCCATTATCAGAAGTCAATTGACTTGTTGATGTCATTGCTTC